AATAAACTTAAAAAAAAAAAAATAAATCTTAAAAAAAAATCTATCACCTTTAATTGAAATTCTCTACTAGCAAATTTCTGAAAGGAAAAGAGATTTTTACCTGTAATGCAGCTGTAGATTCTTCACTGGGTAATGAATCTATCAAAACATCAATGTCTTTTGCTGTTCGTGCAATCAGTGCCGCAAAAAGCTGGGCATATTCTAAAGAAAGATATTACTAATTTAGAGTATTAGGGAATCTCAAGTTTTCAGAAACAGAAACTAAATTCAAGGCTAATAAAACCAGGAAATTTCATAAACTTTTTCTGTACTGGGCTTCAAATGATTAAATTTTAACACACCAATCCTGTTACATATTTGAGAATTAGCTTTACTATTAACTCAAATTGGCAATTAACCATAATCACTTCATTTTTTAGGACAATATGCCAGTCACTTGAATGAAGGAATCTGTAAATGGGATGCCTTCTTTATGAAGGTCCCTCAAGTGAAATTCAGGTAAAATCACACACATTCATTTCTAAAGGAGTAACCATCCGTTATTTGACATGAACAGAAATATGAGATGTAATATAAATTGACTGTAACAAATTCATTTATTTTATAACAAAATTTGTAGTAATATTTTCAAACAACCAGATTTTAAGAAAGCCATAATGAAGCTATATTTCTCAATAAGTTTAATTTTAAAGGATCATAATATATGAGGGTCAAACTAAGAGAAGCCAAGAAAATCTATAATCTATTTACCTTCTGTAGGATTAGCTGGCTGATCTTTGTTAATTGCTGTCTGAATATTACTAAAAGAGGCAGGAGGGCCACACTGCTGCAACACTCCAATGGCATTACAAAACTGATCTGCAAGCTTGAAGCCAAAGAAAATGTATCAGCGTTAGAAAGGATTTATCAGTTTTAAAGACTGTGACTGGTAATAGCAACAAAAATAAGTTTCTATAATAACGATCTCTAAACAAGGGAATAAAACAGGAACAATTTTGGATAAAATTAGCCAGTTATTTACAATGATTAAATGTTTTAATCACACAAAGAAACTAGGTTTGGTGTCAATGTAGTTGAAACAGATAAAAAGAAACACAAAATAATCTTTCTTTTCTTCCTAAGGTAGTAGAATGATAAGAGAAATATACGCCAATATTTGTTACAAGCATAAATAAGGACTTTTTTGGGCAGTGGTGGGAAACGGCAAATTTGACTGGCAAATATCTAAGTATGGCCGTAGGACAAATTTTAAAATGTGTGACTCATGTAAAGTATATGATACCTTTTTTGAGACTAAAGTAGGTCCAAGTATAAAGAAATAGCAGGAAAAATACTTCACCTTAAGAAGTCTTAAGGTCATTGATGGATGAACGGATAAAGAAATTGTGGTACACACACAAACAGGAACACTATTTGTTCATTAAAAAAAAAGGGAAATCGTGCCATTTGCAACATGAATTGACCTTGAGGGCACTACGCTAAGTGAAATAAGTCAGAGAAAAATAAATATTACATGATCTTAGTTATATATGGAATCTAAACAAAGCAAAAACTGAGCTCATACACAGAGGACAGACTGGTGGTTAACAGAGGAGAGGTGGGGGTGAAGGTGAGCAAAATAAGGGAAGGGGGTCAAAAGGTATGAACTTCCAGTTATAAAATAAGTAAGTTAAGATGTATAGTATGGTGACTACAGTTAATACTGTACTGTATATTTGAAAGTTGCTAATCTTAGAAGTTCTCATCATAAGAAAAAAATTTAACTTTGTAACTACATATGGTGACATGTTAACTAAACTAATTGTGATCATTTCACAATACACACAAATACCATTATGTTGTACACCTGAAGCTAATGTTATATGTCAATTATACCTCAATTAAAAAAAAAAAAAAAGACTATCCCTTAAGTATTCAGAAATGTTTTTCTCCATGACTCAAGTTGTAAACTCCCAGTGTTCTAAAAGTATTCCTTAAGTTTTCAGGACCGAGAATACCAATTCCTCACTATCTCCAAACTTAAGACTCCTATCTTCCCCCACCAACTTCCCTCAATAGTCCTGACCTTTTGAACCTCAATTCCTTTTTTTGTTAATGTTTATTTGAGAAAGCGCGTAAGCGGGAGAGGGGCAGACAGAGGGGAACAGAGGATCCAAAGCCGCCTCTGTGCTGACAAGCAGGGAGCTGATGCGGGGCTCTCACTCCCCAACCGTGAGGTTATCACCTGAGCTCAACAGACTAAGCCACACAGGTGCCACCTGAACCTCAATTCCTTACTTCCAATCAGCGAATGGCCATTTCCACTAAGTTTCTCTACCATTATTTAAATGACCGAACTTGGGGTGCCTGGGTGGCTCAGTCAGTTGAGTGTCTGACTTCAGCTCAGGTCATGATCTCCGGGTACATGAGTTCGAACCCCGCATCGGGCTCACTGCTGTCAGTACAGAGCCTGCTTCGAATCTTTGGTTCCCCGTTCTCTCTGCCCCTTCCCAGCTTGTGCACTCTCAAAAATAAATAAACATCAAAAGAAGAAGAAGAAGAAGAAGAAGGAGAAGAAGAAAGAAAGCATTAAAAAAAAAAAAAGGCCAGAGCCCTAAATCAACTGTTTCCTTTGTTTAATATCTAATTTGCATTAAGAATCTCCTAGTTAGCCAGTCTAATTTCAGACTCTTAGGTTCCCTTCATCTTCAAGTCTTTCTGTTACTATTTCCCTTTTCCTTCTATTATTGCTGCTGCCTTAGTTCAGTCAATTATCTCACATCAGTACTGTTACAACAGTCTCATTGTTTTCTGCTTCACTATGTTATTTTACCCTGCTTAAAAATTTTGAGCTCATCCCAGCATGGCCTTTAAGATTCATCTCCAACGATTCAGGCTGTTTCAAAGCTTTCAACAATCGAAGTCATCTCTACTTATTCATTTTCTACTACTCCTTCATATATACCTAACTAGTGATAAATTCACTCCGGACTACACTGTTTTTCTCACGTTTTGCTACTTGTAATGGAGCCATAGTAAGGGCTCAGAAACTGTACAAATGTGGATTCTAATTCTGGTTCTAGCAACCTGAATAGGGTTTATTTTCCATTTTTAAATTAGGGACATTCTCACATTACAACACTGTTTTGCAGAATAGAGAAGATGCACACACACAAAATAATTCAACACAGTGGCTATCTCTTCTGTCCTTCAAAAGTTCTCAAGATCCACTGATTCAACAAATATTTGTTGAAAATCCACTCTATGACAACCGCTGTATATAAACATTGTAGCGATAGAGTAAACAAGAGACGTAGTTTCTGCCCTCACAGAGTTCTCAGAGTGTAAAACATATGTTATTTTAATAATAATTATTATTCAGATCAATGCTAATCTCTTAGCTATTTAGCTCATATCACTCTTCCAACTTTCAGCTTAAGACACTTGATTCATTATAAATACCTAATCACATGCTACTTTTGCATTATCTAAATGTCTCTTGAGTATCTGACATCTTTCTAATTAGGCTGTAAACTCCTTAAGGAATCTTTCTTTGTAAACATGAGAGTGCTTGGATACATAGTAGGCGTTCACACTAGTTAACCTAGAGGTTTCTCTCCAAAATCCAATTATCAGCATGCCTACCCTGGAGTTAAGGCCATATTCACTTTGCCCTATCATCTTTCCAGTTATAACACATGCATGAATATGCAACATTTCTCCTAAAATAACATTTCTACCCAGCAGCATCGTTGCAATTGGGTTTTCAAAAGCTTCAAAGTAATATCTCCCAGAGGGACGCTGGCCGGCAGCCCAGACAAGTCACCGTAAAGTAGAATTTATCCTGGTGAATTCATCAACATTTAGGGGCTGGCCCTCTCAGTCCTAAAAGGTCTCATTTTACGCACTAGGAGACCAGTTTCTCACAAGCAGATTCACACCCCTGACGTGTACAAAGATTAATGGAGTAAGAATAATCCCAAGTTCTTAGCTTCCAGTGTGGACAAAACTGGCAAAGGACCAGACACTTTGATTTTCCAGTCAACATATCATCTCTACACAGACAGTTTACCTGGGACATCAAATTATAAATAGAATGACAATGAGAAATAGAACTACCGATGAGAAATTGTTTAACTCTTAACGGCAATGAGTATACGAATCCTGTAGTTTGCATATTCAGTACTGGCCAGTTAGGCACAATAGGAAAAATAATCAGAAGGATCAAAGTAAAGGGGATGATTTGGCCCTTAACAGGAAGTAGGCTTTTTGAGACACATTAAAGATGACTTAAATAAATCGGAACCTATCCAAGGACTAGAAGATGCACTTTCATAAAGATGTCAGTTTTCCCCAAACTAATTTACGCTAGGGAGTCGCCAAGAGATGGAATCAGACTCTTTGTCCTTAGGAAGCAACTAAGATAAAACAAAACTTCTCGCGTCACCATCACTCCCCCCTTCAATCTGAAAAGTCCTCGCGAAGGAATACTCTTGGCTGACATTTAACGAAAAAGATCCATAAATCAAGAGCACTGGTTTTCCTCCGCGGCTCAAAACTGGTAAGAAAAAAAGAAGCTTCTGCGGCTTGTCCCCTTTCCCCCGAAAGACAAGTGATCTCGTAAGCAGTGCTGACAATAAAAGAAAACTGCTCCCAGAGAACAGGACAGGGCCGTGACGCCTAAGTGTCCTGGTAGAGAGATGCTCTACTTTTCAGGCGAAAGAGGCTGCTTGCTTCCTCCCTCAGCCCTCCGCAACGCCGGCAGCCGCCCTCAAACCTCCCAGAACGCCGCGCCGCCTCACGCCGTCGCCACCGGCGCTTTTTGCGGAAGCCCTGCCTCAGTTCGCTCCCCACTTGCGGGGTTGTTTTTCAGGCCCCTTTTGCTCTCTTGCTTCACCTTAGGAAAGGAGAAGACAGAGACTAATAGACCTAAATTGCTCACCGAGTTCACCGCGTCCTGCAGCTGTGTGAGGCGATCCGCCATGTTCCTCCCGTGAGCTAAGGAGGCTAATGCAGCTGCTCGTCCGCGATTGGGCAACTTCAGGACGCGTCGGGCCAATCACGGGGCAGAATTCTTGGAAGGGGTGGAGTCGAGAGGAACACCACGCCCCACGAAGAGGGAGGGCGGGACTTTCCTGAGACTTTAGTTAGGCTACCTCCAGCCGCGGAGGAGCTCTGCTCCGAGCAGTTTGAGTAATTTCATCATTGTTCCGAGTCCGTTCGTTTTTGGGTCCAACATACTGTTCTCGAGGCTTTGGGGTTTTAGACACTTTGGAGAGATTGTTAGATTCTGCGGTTTTAAAAGTAATTTTCCTTATCCTCCCTTGTATTCATTTTAAGGCATTGCCTTCAATACTTGCGTTAAGTTGCTTTGGTTTTCCAGGTGGACCACAATACATGTACACAGCAGGCAACTCAAAAATATTTGGGGGGTCGCGATACCGATTTTAACTTCAAAAAAATCCAAATTAAAATTCACCAGGCCATCTTGGCTGCGTTAGGGTGCCTTCTCTGTTGCTTTTGTGGGGGGGGGGGGGGGGGGGGCGAGCGCTACCTAAGTTGGAGACTGGGTGCGTGCTTTAATTCTCAGTGTGGGTGTGCTGGGTGAGCTGACACACATGGGCTGGAAAGCGTCCGAAACAATTAAATACTAAATCGAGCTGTATTCACTGTGTTGGAAGAGTATGGATGGAAAGGGAAGGTTTCCATGGGCAAAGGTGAGGCGGAAGAGGAGCATTTGGAGTTAAGAGGTAAGGTTTGACTGTAGATAACTAATAAGCACCTCGTTCGTGTGACAGAGAGGAACAGAAGGTTAGTGGAGTGGAGAGTGGAGGTTCCTGGAAAACAAGCCTTACGTGTAGGTAGAGCAGGGGCAATTTTTAAACAGGTACGGTATGCAATTTAGACTTAGCCTCGACATCTATTGAGGGTTTAAGTGTGAAGGAAGGTAGTAGAAACTTGGTATCTGGGAAGCCTGGCTGGCTGAGTCCGAGTGTGTGTGACTCTTTATTTTTGTTTGTTTTTTAATGTTTATTAAGTTTTGAGAGAGAGGCACACACAGTGCAAGCCTGGGAGGGGCAGAGAGAGAGGGAGACACAGGTTCCGAAGAAGGCTCCAGGCTCTGAGCTGTCCGCACAGCTGACACCACCAACCCTGAGATCACGACTTGAGCCAAAGTCCAACGCTTAACCGACTGAGCCCCCCGGGGGCCCCATGTGTGACTCTTAATATACGGGTTCTGAATTTGAACCCCATGTTGGGTGTAGAGATTAAAGAAAGACAGAGAGAAACTTAGTATCTAAGAAAAGTTGTAGCCTGAGGATAGTCTGGCAACAAGTGAGCCTGGCATCAGCAAATGACTGGTATGTGGACTTGAGACAACCTCATACACCTTCCTTCTTGGGCTGATTGTTCCTGATTACCCTACTGGAGTTGGGAGAGGGTGGGGGAAATTATACGTTGAGAACTCAGCTTGTTGGATTTACCCCACCCCTAGCTGGGATGCTCTACTTCTGCTTCACCACTACTTCTCCTCAATCCCCAATCTACATACCTGTTGGGACCTAATTAGGAACCTCTCCAGGTAAGGCACTTCCCCCCATAATGGGATTACAAGAGATAACTCTAATTTGTTTTAATTGTAATGTAGGATATTCTTGTGACTGACCTTTTCTTCTCACCCTCAGTTGAGTGTACCTTATTGAATGCTTGCCATGTACCAAGAAGTATGTTAGGTGCTAGGTTTGAATAAGCCAGGGGCTCATTAGGAGGAGGGCTTTGAAATTCCAATAATGAAATGGGTTGGGCCTAGACTAGGCTATTAACTCTGATGAGAGAAGAAGAAAGGCTCGTTTTGAAGGAAATATTAACATGGGTTGGTGCCTGGTTAGATAATAGAGGGATGAATGAAAGAGCCCATAAAGGAGAATACTGTTTTGTGGCCTGATTGAAGAAAACCTGGGCACCCACGGCAGAGGAACCACTTCAAGACAACTCATGTTGTGACTCAGTTATTGTCCTGTCATTTATCTTCCTTACAGATTTTCAGTAGCTCCATAGAGACCTCATGTTGATGTACAGCCATCTTGGCTTGGTTTTCAAGGTTCACTGTAATCTGTCTTTAGCAAACAAATCCAGCCTCCTCTCCCAATAATATTGTGTGAAGTTATCAGATTATTCATCCACAGTCCCTGAACCCTTGGCTTTCCTGGGCTCTGTAAGCCTTTTCCGGGCTTTAAGAATCAGATGAAAGCTATGGACCCTTTCCTCAGACCAGGCTCGAATTTTTTCATACATTTTAAAGGGGTTTATGAATCCCTTGAAGCTGTGGACTTCAGGAAAAAAAAAAAAACCCACCTTCCAAAAGCACTCCTTTGTATCTAGTTCAGGATTGCTCAACAGCAGCACTATTGACATTTTAGGCTGGATTATTTTTTCTGGAATGCTATCCTGCCCATTGTAGAATGTTTAGCATCATCACTGTCCTCTACCCATGAAGTGACAACAGCAAACTCCCCTTCCAATTGTGACAATACAAAATATCTCCAGATATTCCCAAATGTCTCCTGTGGGGCAAAATTTCCGCCAGTTGAGAGCTACTAGTCTATCTCTTTCCTTGTTGTTTACCTTTGTCAAAACAATTTCTTTGCCATCATTTAATTTATACTCTATCTTTTAAAGTTTTACCTTTTTCATGTACAATTTAAGAATTACTGGAGTTCACATGGATCTCTCCTTTTTCCATTTTATGATTTTTACACTTTTTCAGATGCTTTTTCATTTGCTTTTCTTGCATCCCCAACTGATTATATGGGTTGAAGAGTAGAAACCCAGTATTACATATTAAGTTTATTTATTTATTTTTTTAGTAATCTCTACACCCAATATGGGGCCCAAACTCACAACCCCAGGATCAAGAGTCCATGCTCTTCCGACTTGGCCAGGCACCCCAAGCTTCATATTATGAAAAGTTTCAAACCTATACAAAAGTAGGATAGTAAGGTGGACACGAATGCACTC